AACTAGCAAATTATTCAAGTTATTAATTTAAACTTCGAATCAAGTATGTTTATTCAACCAATGAATGTGAGGTGTACCAATTGCTTTATGCTTCTGCTAAAAGTTATGATGATAGTACAAAAATATACTTATGTAATCGTTTGCACAAGATTTTGATTAAGATGCAGCATAACTCGAGTCTTAATTGAAACACATACTCTACTCTTTTAAATATCTATTGTACTTCCTTTATATTACAATTTTTTGATGTTTCACTCGACATTGAATGCATTTAACAATATTTCTTTTAAATGCATATCATCATTTTAAGAAGCCTTCAAATTCATATGATCTGAGGGTTTCAAATTTTTTTATTGTAAAGTCGCGAGCGAAGCAAGGTGACGTTAGATAGAAGTAGTTTATATATTTGTTAAGGAATAATTTTTGAACATAAATGTTTTTGTGAGTAGTTTTGCATTTCCTTCACAAGATAAAAGATTATGAATTGCTCTCATCATATTCAAAATCAAGTATCAATAATATGTATAGCTCCCGACAAGTGTTGACATCAAAGGAAATTATGTGTTGATATTCATATGAACATGAAGTGGAAAAAAACAAAAAATTACAACCAATATGTTTTAGGAAATGGCTGTGTCGAAATTAGAAGAATTAAAGCTTAACGACTCATCTCAATTAAAAACTCAAAGAAAGAATATTAAAAATGCTTTATTCAACTCAAAATAAGTTAAAATAAATTTGGAAGGAGTTATCTGAATCAATAAACCAATAAACCAGATACATGATTTGCTTGAAATGCATGATAAATTCTATATGAATATCTTTCAAAACAATGATATTCCTAGAGATTGTCAAATACTGGAAATGACAAAGAAACTGAGCCTTTTTGTGAAAAGTTAAATACAGAATTAAAAGGGATTATGCAATTAATAGAACAGAAGGTAAGTAATTAATAAGAAAACATTCAATAATTAAAAGAAATAATATAAGTTTATAACAGAAGGGAAGATTTGTATTAGGTATTGACTTACACTAAGAACTTTGAAAGATCCGACCTTAATTAGTTACTTTAGATGCTGAGAAATAAGAAAATAACGAATTGTTTAGAATTCTTTAAAGATAAAACTCAATTGAAATTTATCGCTTCTGTGATGTAAAATGTTAACGAAATAGACTTTAATAAGAAGAACTATTCACTGAGAATTATGATTATTTCTTTTATATTTGATCTAATCATGAAAAATGGCTTTCATTTTTCAGGGAAATAAAGTTATTATTACAGTTTATTTTCAATTAATCAAGAATACTTTATTAATGTATTTTTTACTAATCAAATTCAAATAATGCTTGAGTAAATATTAATTAATTTCAATGAATCAAGTATGGGGATCAAGTCAAACAAAATCATAGAAAAATAGTTTAGAAAAAGGATAGCGCAAAAAGCATGCATTTGAAGTAAATTGGAGAGAAACGATTTAATATCCTTAAGGGAATCAAAAAGAGATTCAGAAGCTTGAATAATGAAAATTTTATTTTACCTACTTTCTAAACGCTTTTCACTAAGATTGTTTCCATCCAAGAATTGTGAAATTACCTAACAGTACAAGCTTAATGAATAAGTGTAAAATATCAAATCGTTTCCTTGGAATGTTAACATATTCTTTTCTTCAGCCTCATTTCTGGTGATGGTTGGTAGGCATTTAATATTTTTGATGATCTTTTCTTCAAGGATATTCTCTTGAATTTATAACCTATGATAACACCTATAATTATGTTTCTTGGATATTCAAAGCAGAATGTCTGAAAGCTTTGGTCAATACTGCTCTGGTTCCATTAACTTTGACCACCTTGGATTTCTAAATGATCTTCTTTTCAGGAATTGAAACATGCTCTTCAGTCAGGATGTATTTCATATCGTTAAATTCTTTTTTGAGAGAATATAAAATGTGAGATAATCTACATAATAAAGGTTATAATATTGGGTTAAACTTAAAGTTATAGAGAAGATTAATTTTTTTATTTTTTAACGTTATCCATTATGTTTATAAAATCCAATCTTGAGTAATTTGTTATTTTCATAATGAATGAATAAAATTGAACTAGTTGACTGATATTATCGTGGTGTAGATATTAATTAATTTTAAAAAAAATCTCTTTGAGGTAAGATTACATAGTTCTTATCTTAATGATTAATAACTGTTCCTTATATGCAAAATTATTATTGAAAGTAGCTCCTTTGGATGTAAT